TCGAAGCATTTGCTCACGATGGGGGTCAGGGCTACAGGTCGCCAGTCGTTCAATGAGGAGATGGTGGAGGATTTGGGTACAGGGACGATGGTGGCCATTTTGAAGCAGGCTGGGACTACAGACAGAGAGAGGGAAAGGTTGAAGATGTGTGTGAACACTCCAGCCAGCTGAGCCGCGCATGACTTGAGGACGCGGCCGGGAATCCCGTCCGGACCAGTAGCTTTGCGCGCGTTCACCTTCCTGAAGCACCTCCGCACATCCTCCTCAGACACAGTGTGCGCACTGACGTCATCCGCGGTGCGCACACTGTCCGGTCTCATGGTGTTCGCTGTGTCGAATCTAGCGTAGAATACGTTTAGATCCTCACACAGAGAGGCCGTGGTCTGCGGTGTGCTGGGTTTCCCTCTAAAGTCTGCGATCGTGTTTAGACCCTGCCACATACTCCGAGGGTTGTCAAACTGTTGTTCCACCCTGTCCCTGTACTCACGTTTGGCTGCTTTGATCGTCTTCCGGAGTTGGTAATGTGCGTGTTTGTAGTCCGATGTGTTCGCGGAGGCAAAGGCGGTGTTCCGTGCCGCGCGAACATCTCCGTTAATCCAGGGTTTTTGATTTGGGAAGGATTTAACTGTTCTGGATGGGACGACAGCTTCCACGCATTTCCTGATAAATCCACAGACTGAGTCTGTGTATTCATCAATGTCTTTAGCGGCTACGTGAAACATTTCCCAGTCCACGTGATCAAAACAGTCCCGCAGCGCAGACTCCGATTGGTCCGTCCAACAGTGCACCGCCCTCCGGGTTGGAGCTTCCTGTTTCAGCTTCTGCCTGTAGGCGGGCAGGAGCAGGATGGAGCAGTGATCTGATTGGCCGAATGGGGCGCGGGGGAGGGCTTTGTACGCATCCCGGAAAGAGGTGTAACAGTGGTCGAGAAGCCGGTCTCCACGTGTGTTAAAAGGAATGTGTTGATGGAGTTTTGGTGAGACTTTCTTCAGGTTTCCCTTATTAAAGTCTCCGGCTGTGATAAACGCCGCCTCTGGGTGTGCGGTTTCCTCACTGCTGATCGCGCTGTACAGTTCCCTGAGTGCTCGGTCAGTATCGGCTTGTGGGGGAATGTAAACAGCCGTAATAATCACTGCTGTAAATTCCCTCGGTAGCCAGAATGGCCGGCACTTAACCATCAGGTACTCCAGGTCCGGTGAGCAGAAGGATTTGACCGGGTGCACGTTCGCATAATCACACCAGCTGTTGTTGATCATGAAACTGCTTTTCCCAGTAAGCTCCTGTGACCTGTCCGCGCGGTGCACAGAGAACCCCGGCAGTTGTATTGCGGAGTCCGGTACCTTGTCCGATAGCCAGGTTTCTGTGAGGCAGATCACGCAGCAGTCCCGCATCTCTCGCTGGAATGAGATCCGTGCCCGAAGCTCGCACAGCTTGTTCTCCAGAGACTGCACATTAGCCAGTAATAAACTGGGTAATGGTGGTCTGTAAGTGCGCCGTCTCAGTCGAACCAGAACGCCAGATCTTCTCCCTCTGCGTCGGCGTTTGCGGCCTCCAGGGACAGAGAACAAAGGCGTCTCAGGTGAGATGAATGGGGGGTCTGCAAATGGAGCGTCCGTGTTGCAAAACTTGAACTCCGGAAAGTTATAAGAAAGACCGTCTTTTATGTCCAGTAAGGTTTGTCGGTCATACACAAGGAGACAAGTGCTGCTCGTGAAAAAATAAAGGAAAAGTAAAATTAAACACAGAAGAAAGCCGTTGCTTGGGGGAGCTCGCGACGAGGCTGCCATACTCGGCGCCATCTTGGCCACACCTGCTGTCAACTCAATGTGTAGAAACATCAGGTTACATGTAAGGTCACAGCATAGATTTCCCACTGAAGCTTAAACTGGGAATGAGAAGTGAACCATCTTAATATTGCAGTAAAACCAGGGTTAACCCTGAAGTTACCTGGATGAGACTAAATCCTGGTTCACAGTGCAGACCTCTGATCACTGATGATGGAGAAGAAAAACAAATCAGGCAGAATGTAAAACATTTGCTCTGCAGGACTGAGGTCTTTGTTATCACCACCGGGTGCCTCACAGCAACAAGGTCCTGGGTTTGAATCCAGCACGAATTTTACCCAAAACACAACATGTTTGTCATGTATATTCGTTCACAGGGCAAGTTTTAAAATTGCATTTTGTGATTTTTTTTTGCAATGTGCTTGGTGTATAAATGCCTCAAGTCCTAATCTTATTATATCACTCAAAACTTTATTTGCATAGCACTTCTCACACAGTAAGGAAGCCACTCAAAATGATGTACACATTAAAAGCAGAAAAAATACACATACATCAAGTTCACTACACCCTCTCATCACCCCTCCATCCCCACTCACATACCTGGACATCAGACACTCATCATACAGAAACACTGGAGATTAAAAAGAAATGATAAATAACAGAACAAGGCTACTACATGAAAAGTGAATAAACAAAGAAAATAGTAAATACATCAAAAGTAAAATGAAATAAAGTAATAAAGTGCAGCATGATAAATAAAAGATGGTCAACAGTCTCCTGTCCTGAGGGCTCTGAAGTGCTCGTAGCATAAAAGTAAATCTGAAAGATGAGAAGGTCCTGAAACACTGAGTGTTAAAAACAAGTAAAAGGATCTTAAAGACGACTCTGACTGCAGAGACGATAACATTGGTGTAATTAAGGCTGTGGACTTGATTTTTAAAGCAGCTGCAGTGACAAGTGTTTCTTTGAAAAACTAAAAACATGAGCACTGCAGTAAGCAACCCTGCAGGAGATGAAAGGAGGAGTCAGTGTCTCCACATCCTGAGTGAGTTGGCGGAAGTTTGCTGCCATCCAGGATTTAATATGTAAGATGCAGATAGATCTGACTGGCTCTGTGTCATCAGGAGACACAACAACATCATCAGTGTAATCGTGTGTACTCATTCTGTCTCCTGATGACATCACAGCCTGTAAATGTTAAAATCACTGGTCCCAGATCTGACCCTGTGGAACGCCATAGCTCAGTTTGTAGCTCCTGGATGAAGATTCATCAACACGTACAAAGAATCCTCCATCTGTGCAATTTAATCCAGTTAGAAACTCCGAGAGTATCAATCACTGTCTCTAAACGTCTGCAGTGATCCACAGGATCAAAGCACTGACATCAAGAGGAACCAACACAGATCAAAGAGTTTCTCTGACAGTTTGCTTTACATAAATATTTAACCGCAAGCAAATAACCAAAACTTATCAGATGGTGTGGAGCTGTCACCATCTGGGTAATGAAATGTAACTCAAACAGCTTCTGATATTAAACTATAATGGTCCACACAGCAGCTCAGACCTGAACACATTCAGTGTGAAACACACTGGTTTATATTCTGTTTGTTCTCCTCGTGATGTTACCCTCATACAACTATCTATCTATGCGTTTAAATATGTCATTTTTATAGTTAAACGTTTTTAACTAGTTTAATGTATTCTCTCTCTCTCTCTCTCTTGTTCCATGGTGCTTTGCTTCAGACCATTTCCTTCTTTGCTTCTTCATCAGGAGGATGAAGAGGAGGATCTTTCTTGTGTTTTTTAGAGATCACAACTGCAAAAACAAGAATGATCACAGCAAGTAATAAAACAGAAGCCATCAGTCGACCATGATGACTTCTACCAACTCCATCTTCCTCCTCTCCATCCTCTGTGTGTCCTCCTGGCTGACCTGCAGGTGAGAAACAGGTGTGAGGTGTCAGCTGATCATGTCACACATCATCAACAACATCTTTAGAAACAAACATCAACAACCAGGAAGCAGCTTCCCTTCTGATCACACACACACTCAACTCTACTCACTCACCTGGAGGATCAACAACACTCAGGCTGATGATGCTGATGGGTTTCCACGAGCGTGTTTCTCTCATGAAGACACGACACTAATCGTCACATCCTTCAGAATCAGAGACACGTCTCCATCCTTCATCTGTCTGTCCTGCAGATCCACCCGGTTCTTAAAAGATGGATGCTGGTGATCTGGAATAAACTGCTTGTCTCGGTACAAAAGAACATATTCTGGCTGCAGGTCAGCTCTGCGCCACTCTACTACTATGTTGTTATTTGGAGCTCGACTTGTCAGATTGACGTTCTGTCCAGATGCAGCTGTGATGTTTTTTGTGGCCTGAAAGAAAAACAACACAGAGCAGCAGCCAATCAGAGTGAGGCAGAGCTTATGAACTAGACAAGAGAGAAGTGTACACACTGGGTGCAGCACATCAGGCTACATGGCCCACCAGACAGCTTAAACACACACACACACACATTGCCTGTTCTTATTGTCTTTCATGCTGCTCTGTTGTATGTTAATTTCCCCTTGGAGATAAATAAAGTCTTTCTGATTCTGATATGAAACAAACACACCAACATACACACACATACCTGCATATACAATGTCTTGAAAAAGTTTTCATACCCCTATAACCCTTCCACATTTTGTTGCCTTACAACCGCAAACTTAAATGAGGTTGTAAGGGAGGATGAGTAATGCAGTTATAAACTGTTTCTTTTACAGCAGACTCTTCTCTTCACAGCTTCATTATACAAACTGTTATGTAAATGTGTGTGAGTACATTTAAAAACTAACATCCACTTTCTCACATGACAGAAGAGTTTTGTTGACAGGAGACCTGCGTCCTCTCTGTGAGTGGCCCAACCTAAAGCAGCTCTAACATCTAACAGCGTGTAAGAAATAGATCGATATGATTTTAAAATAAAACTCACCCGCACAGGTAAAGCCCACGAGGGAGACAGACAGTAAAGTCCAGCAGAGCCACGGAGATGTTACAGCAAACATGTTTCATGACGCTAATGAAGCACACTCAGACTGCACGAACGGGTTTATGTTGGAAGACTGGAGGCAACATGTTGACACGCCTGTTATCTTGCCTTAGATTTGATAAGGCTGCTGTCAATCACTCACTAGCTCGCTGACACTGGCTGACACTTGAGGAGACCATCCCCCGGAAGTGTGGTAACTAACACTTCCGGGTTTAATTTTGATTTTGACTGTTTTGGCGGTACGCAGGTAACGGAGTTTATAAAAGTTTATTTTGTTATTAGCAGCCCCCCTTCTGCTCCTTTACGTTGGTTGCCAACCGCCGTTAAACACAAAGAAGAAGAAGCACCCCCCTATACCACAAGGTATAGTTATGATGTAAATAAGTATATGTTTAAATATTTTGGGTGAAAGATCTTTGTTTGCATTTGTTAAGTTTGTGAAGTTATTTTAGGTTGTAAACGTTTATGGTTGTGTTGTAAGATTTTAAATTGCACCGCTGTTTTTCTCTCTCTCGGCTATTACAGTGAGATTGAGGGTTTCTTGCCATTAAACCTAAAGATCAATTTGTAAAGTGTTGTTTCAAACGTATGTAATTAAAATTTTACAGCAGTGAAATTTAACTCTGTTTCAAATACTGAGCTTCGGGAAACATTAAAAGTGCTTTTATTTCCGTTTCTATATTTAAATATTGTTTTGATGCATTTTCAGTCATCCAGGTAAGTAAATCTCCAAAAGTTGATTCTGTTCATCTGGACGTAGCGTTTTGTGGGAGAAACGTTTCGTCACTCATCCAAGTGACTTCTTCAGTCTCAGCTGACGGCAGGTTTCGCCGATCTTATAAACAGGACATTTGCATAATGACTGTAACCAGCTCAGTGAAGGAACAATGGGCTGGGAGGTCAGTTCCTTAATCTTACTGTACTCATGGCCATTGAGTGGGTTTTGGTCAGTGGTTGTTGATCAATGGTCATGAGAATTTGCATAATTAAGATTAAGGAAAATCTAAATTTGACTTTGATGTTCCTGCAGGTTCTCATCTGCCTGTTTTTGTTCCTGTTGTAACTGAACTTTGACCTCATGTGTTCATGACTCTTCACCTCTTTCTCCTCACAGGGAGAAGATGATCTGCAGGATCTCGCTGGTCCTCATCCTCACCTCGTGTGTCTCTGGTTAGTTACAGTTCACTTCATGAACTCCAAATTAAAACCACAACAACAGGTTTGTTCCAGTTCTCAGAGTGTCTGCGCCTCTCTCTCTCTGTCTCCTCAACAGGATCATTTGTAGTGAATGTGACTCAGACCTCCTATCAGGCAGAGGAGAACCACAACATCACACTGGAGTGGACGTTCACAGTAGAAACAGGCAGATCCCCCACATATCTAATAATTTACTGTGACCTGATAACTGATGATAAACTCTCAGTTCTGTATCATGTCCACAATGGTGCTGAAGTCTCAGAGTCTCAGGATGAAAAGTTTTCAGGACGAGTTCAGGGTGACAAAGACGCCCTCAGAGAAGGACGAATCAGACTCCAGCTGTGCAAACTCAGGACTGAGGACTCTGGTCAATACAAGTGTAAAGTAAACACAGATCATGGTCTCAGCTCTGCGAGCTGCAGACTCAACGTCACTGGTAAGTTTTAACAAGTCAAAACTGAACAATCACTTTTATATTTATGGTCTGTTAAACTTTTATGTGCCATGTTTATGATTTATGACTGAAAAACATGATGTGTTGTGTGATATTATTCTGTTATTATATGTTACCTTATATATGTAATCAAAGTAGTTGAAGGATGATACTGCTGTAGATCATATTATACCCTTTAATATAGAGTGTGTGATCTGTATGTAGTTTAGTTCTCATTATACTTTTGAGTTAAAAGAACATATTCACTGATTAGTTTATTAGATAAGTGTGCATCACTCTGTATCCTTGATCTGCTGTGAATGTATTACATGCTTAATTGTTGAATCATGAAGAGAAAGGTTGTAAGCAGGAGACTCTGTGTCTAAGACAGGGGAGATAGACAGACCACATTCCACACCCCCACCTTACAGAAAGCAGAGGAACAACTGCTGAGGTCATAACTTAGGCGCCGTAAGAGAGAAAGAATGTTAATGTTTGGTCTTTTACGACTAGGTGGGGGCCACTAGAGACTATAAAAAGCTGAGCAACCCGTCACCATTTTGAGACTTGCTGTGACCCTCTTCAGGCATGTCTCCCCATCATGATGGTCCTTATGCTCTTAAGTGTTGAATTGTATGGAAATAAATGATTGTTGATTGAGCATAAATACACCGAGTATTGTCCTTCCTTCAGACCAAAGATTCAAAGAATTGGGAGATTTCAACAGTTGTTCATGTCAAACATCCTGATGGTTCTTATTTTATTTCTGCACAAGTAAATATGTTAATGTCTTTTACAGCAGCTGCTGATCAACTCACATCCCAGAGACCAACTTCACCACCACAAGAAGAGAGAAAGGACTGGAAGATTATTGTAATTGGCCTGACAGCAGCAGCATTATTCGCTCTGATTGTGTGCACTTTACTTTGTGTCGTGCTTAGAAAAGTGCCAAATTTCTGTACAGCTGTCAAGTTTCATGAACTCTCAGGGACAAAGTCACTAAACCAAGATACGTCCTGCCTTTGACGTCTACTTGATCTAGTTGATACGAACTCTGTAAATGAACTGGTTCTATATGTTGCTTTCATACACTATTCAACTTACCTCATTCACACAAATTCACAAAAACATTTTTTGTATGTTTTTCTATGCAAGTCATTTTTGTATAACACAAATAGATCGAAATATATGTAGATATTAATAATCTATATTTTACAAATCGCATCTTCAAAAACATTGGCAAACTTTCTAAAACTGTAATAAAAACTAAAATCTGTTATTTGGTCATTCACTTCAACTTTGATTTAACAAGAAAATTAACAGAGAAACATTTTCAGTGTTTTCAATAACAAACTCATTTCTATTTGATAAAACATTTAAAAATCTATCAACGCAGTTGGGACAGAGGTAAATTTAACACTGGGTCATTTCACCTTTTCTTTTAATTTCACATCTTAATCTTTCTAAAAGTGAAGAAACTGGTTTTTACAATTTTATAAGTAAAATTCTTTCCTGATTCTTCTCTTCATGAGGGGATGGGAGCAAATGTAGCTCCTGTTTAAGCCAAAATCAGTAGTGCCTTCACATATGTGCAAATCTCTGTGTCTCCTTGCTTTATTCCTGCTGAACGATTGTCAGGGAACAAACAGTCTCTTCATGTCTGATAAAAAGATGGCTGCTGAGTAATAAAGTGAATTCCTTTCTGCTAATTTCAAGACCCAAAGATTTAATATCTGCTCTCTAAAGATGACTTGTTGACTTTTTTACAGTTTAATAATTGATCTTGCATCAGCCCTGTTGAAGAAAGCTCAGCAGCGCCTCCATTTCATGAGGGTTCAGAGATGGAACAGGCTGCAGACTGACCTACTAGTGTCCTTCTATCGTGCCACAATCCAGAGTGTGCTGGTGCACGCCATCCCTGTGCGGTACGCTGATTGTACAACAGCCAATAAGAAGAGACTCTAGAGGGTCATCAAAACTGCAGAGAAGGTGATCGGCTGTCCGCTCTCCTCCCTGGACTCCATTTCCAGCTCTAGATGTCTCTCCAGATCCAGGGCGATTATGAAAGAGCACCTTCATCCTAACCACCACCCATTCAACATCCTGCCCTCTGGAAAAGGGTTCAGATCCATCAGGTGCAAAACCAACAGACTAAAGAGCAGCTTCTTCCTGTGGGCTGTCAGAACAATTAATGCAAATTAAGAGTGTGAGCAGATCTCTCCCATACAATCATACAAGCAATATGTTGCTGCTTTCTTGCTTTTGTGCAATATTTTGTTCTTCTGTTCAATACTTCGGCAGATGTCCAATCTCCATAGGCCCCTCCATTCTTAGTTATTATTTATTGTATTTTACTACAGTGAAATACTATATACTATATATATAGTTTTTCCTTTTAGGTCTGATGATTGTCCTGTGAGCAGCTGTGGCTCAGGAGGGTCGTCTACTGATTAGATCAGGACAGCAGTTTGATTCCTGACACCTTTAATCTGCAAGGACAAGAAACGGAACTGTGAGTTGGACCTGATGGATCCACCTGAGTGTGAAAGTGTGACTGTCAGGTTAAACACACTTAGATAAAGGCACATGAGAGTCAGTCTTGTAGTAAGAAAGTGCTTACACAGTAAAAAAAAAATGGCTGCCGGTCCATGTAAGACTTGATGTTGTACGAGGCTGCACTCTAAGGTTAAGCATTACATACTGCGAATGGATCTTGAAGAACTTATCCATGCCTTTGTTATTTCAAAATTAGACTACTGCAACTCCCTTTACCTGGGCCTCCAGTCCTCCCTTCTTCATAAACTACAACTTGTCCAAAATGCAGCGGCGCGCCTTTTAGCTGGTACTAGAAGGTTTGATTCTATTACCCCGATCCTTGCTGCCCATCAAAAATCAGACTGATTTTAAGATTTTATTGCTTACATTCAAAATCGTAAATAATATTGCTATTTAACTGAACTTCTCAGCCTGTCTACTCCTAGGAGAGCACTTTGATAATCAAGTCAAATGCTCTTGCTGCAACCTAGGTCATGGCTGAAACCCGGAGGTGATCGTTGTCAGGGTTATATTTTTGGGTTGTCATTTATACTTAGAAACATATAATACTGTTTGGTTTGGCAGTTGGGAAGCTCATCTGTAAATGGGAGGTTGCTCTCGCTATCCTGGTCGTTGTGTCCTTGGGCAAGACACTTCGCCTACCACCTACTGGTGTTGGCCAGAGGGGCCAAAGGTGCGATATGGCAGCCTCGCTTCTGTCAGTCTGCCCCAGGGCAGCTGTGGCTACAACTGTAGCTGCCTCCACCAGTGTGTGAATGTGAGAGTGAATGAATAGTGGCATTGTAAAGCGCTTTGAGGGTCTTGAAAAGCGCTATATAAATGCAATCCATTATTATTATCATTATCATATATGCTTAGAGGTATATAATCTATTGCATATTGATAGAATGTCTCAGGGCAGCACGGTCTTTACTGTTGTCGCACAGCAAGAAGGTCCTGAGTTCAATTCCACCATCAAGCCGGGGTCTTTCTGTGTGGAGTTTGCATGTTCTCACCATGTTTGCGGGGGTTCTTCCCGGCTTCCTCCCACAGTCCAATGACATGCAGTGGGGGATAGGTTAATTGATTAATCTAAATTGCCCATAGGTGTGAATCTGTGAGTGCAAATGGTTGTCTATGTCTCTGTGCATCTCGCCCTATGACAGCTGGGATAGGCTCCAGCGACCCAGGAAAGGATAGGCGAAAGTGAATGGATGGATGTATAGAATGTCTCATCCTTAGTAGTTGTTCACAGACACACACACACACACACACTCACACACACACACACACTGGTACTCTTTGTTCGCATATATGCCTGTGTCCAGTGCTTTGCTAGTTGCAGTAGAATTGTCTCGGCTGTTCCAGCAATAGGTTTGTGCCTAGATAAACCTTACAACCGTGCCATTGCTGCACGTATTACCAGAGCCTGTTCTTTAAGAAAGAAACACTTGTGAACTTCTAAATCCTTCTTGCTTGTTGTCTCATTTGTTGTGTGCTGGTCTGTTACATTTTCTAAAACTACACTACACACTACTTTACATTCAGAATGAATGAGTGCACACATGTAATGAAAACAAAATCCATTAAATCATTTTTGTCATCTCCAGTCTTTTCCTTGTGCAGTAATACAAGGAACGATTTGCTGTCAGCTCATTTTAATCTGATGTGTTTGAAAGTTTAGTGATGACATCCTGTCTGATGGCACTTTGTTTACAGGCAGCGTTTTAATCACTATTTTAAAGACACTGTGTATGAATGTAACAGCTCAGTGCTGTCTGACAGCATTAGCATTGTTAGTTACCTTAAACAGGCTGAATCCACCGCTGCACTGTGAGGATAAAGACTCTGTGTCGCTCTACTGTCACTTCTTATTCTTCATATGTCACAGCTGAAGATTTTACAAGTGTGAATAACACGCCACGTGCAGAAACAACAGCCTGTACTCTGCAGCGCAACAAGAAACCAGAGCCTAAAGTAACTCTGGTGACGCGCTTTCTCTCTAACCAATCAGAGAGCTCCTTACATCACTGCATAGCTCACATTCCTCCGTCAGGTTGTTTCTACTGGAACATCCTCAGCAGAACCAATAAAAGGAAAGTAAACTGCAAAGTAAATTTTTATTGATAACATAAAAATATGATCCCTAATTTGATTTTGAAGTTTACTTATTTTTAAAACTACATTAAAAAACATTTTGAAAATCCTGAAAAATATCAGAATTTTACTTTTTTGAATGGGGTTTTTCGTGAGTTATTGTTTTCCACCTTTTTCATTTGAAAGCAGTGCTCCACATTTCACATTTTTTGGATGTGAGTTGTTTCAAACTGTAGACACAGATCTGTCTGTTGAATTGAATCGTTCAATACTCGAGAATCACTTTACTGACTAATGAATCATGATTCACAAGCCCAACGGACTCACTGACTCATCCCTGTTGCTGTTAGCAGCAATGTATCTAGCTTATAATTAAAATTGTGGAGAAAAAACACAACATCCAGTATCTTAACAAAAAATTTCTGCTCTGAACTGGAAGAAAAAACCCTGAGTAGAAGCTCACATCAAGAAAATAGCTCCTCCGTTCACAGTAGCATCGCTCTGCTAACATGCTAACAACACATTTGAGCTACTCACCCCCTCCCTCCTGTGCTGAATCATAGGTCGTGTCCAAATTCATGGGCTGCATCCTCCTGAGGCCGCATTTGTAGACCGATTACGTCACAGCGACGCGCCGAAGGCTGTCCAAATTCATAGACTCCTCCGAATGCAGCCGACAAATGCGCCCTCCTTTTCCCTGAATTTGAAGGATGGGTCGGGTGTGTCCTTCGTGGCCCACCATATCCCAGAATTCATAGCGCGGCACAGCCAAGCTCCAGTTTCCGGCTAATGGCGGCCGCTACTATAGAGCGAATGAATGCTCCCTGTCACTACCCGATCCGTACCGGAAACCCGATCGGTACCCCGCATGCGCGAAAGGTTTCTACTTCCGGTCGTAGTGTTTTACGATAGTTACAGCCCAGAGTATCTGTTAAGATGTTAAGAATAACAAGTATATCTTAAAATCTTTGCAATAATGAAGCATTTCAGTACAATGTAGACAAAAACGAAAAATAAAAAGATAGTTACGGATCAGGACTCCCCAATCCTTACTGCGCATGTGTAAAGTCTGACCGTACAAATCAAGTCTATCCGATCCGTACCGCGCATGTGCAGATGTTTTCTTCTTCTTCTGTTCGTTTAATGGCAGTGTACTCCCCAGTGTACGAGGATACCGCCATCTGCTGACCGAGCGAATAAACCCTATTATAAACTGAATTAGCGTCATTACAAACGTGTGTTAAATCTGATTTAGCGATAGTCGAGTGTGTTTATGCTTGTCTGTGAGGAGAGGATTGTTGGAATAGTGATGATGATGTGCGCTATCACTGTCAATTGCCAGTAAACACTTAATCTGGCTGATGAATCTACACGTGAGATATTACAAAGTCTGCATTATTAACTCTGTAATTAGGCGCCATTCTTCTTATTTTACGGCGCTGTTGCTCAATCGGGGGACGCTCTCTGTTGAGGAGAAAAGCATGAATTTCTTTGTTTACGGATTATCCATTGTTTAAATGTCCCGGGCAGTCGAAAAGGAGGCAGAGCTGTTGAGAAATGCTAGGAGCTAACTGGGCGCTAACCGCATCATTCAAATATATTGAATGTCGCAATGTTGGCAAAGAGAGGAAGTGACATAAGATTTGC